GTCAGTCTTGAACCAGCACTTTGCACTTGGAAGGTGCAAAGCACATACCATAGCTGGATACCTCGATCGCCAAGCGGTTCATAGCGTTTTGGATTTCTTGTGTGTTGTCACCCAGCGAGACGATGTCATCGGCATATTCCAGGTCAAGAACTCTATTCCCTGGGAGGAGTTTGACTCCACCGTTTGCTAGACCGGACACAGCGTTCTGTAGAACATCCTCTATGACAAAGTTGACAAGAAATGGGGATATTGGGCAGCCTCTCCGAACTCCACTCGAGACTGCGAAGGGCGGCGAAAGCTGGTCATAGGCCCTAACCCGACTTGAGGTATGACGATACAACTCCTCGAGGATCGACATATACTCCATTCCTCAACAAGTATTTCCATAGTGCGGTACTACCGACGGAGTTGAAGGCCTCACGGATATCTAGGAATACTATGGTCGTTGGACCCGCTCAGTGTTCCAAACTTTAGAGAATCAAACTTGTATTTCTCTGACGAGCCTTATTCTGTCACCTTTAAATAGGGCTGGCGAAAGGCCATCGGAGCCCGGCGCTTTGTGACTTCCCAAGGCTTGGATCTCTTTATGGATTCCCGTCTCAGAAGGTGAGTTTGTTGAGACAGACCTTTGGACGTGTGCCAGAATAGCTGTATGAGAAGCTGACGCTGGATGCAGCTAAATTGTGCTTTGAAGTGCTCCGCTCAGTGTGCAAGGCGTCCCTTTTGTCTAAGAATGGGCGAACCGTCAGCTTCGCAGATCGTTTCGCTCACACCCAAGGCTTTCCTACCTGTGGCCTTCGGAGCCGAATCGCGCATAAGCGACGGTTGACAGGGATTCAACCGATTAGTGACCATTTGGCTGTATTATTAAATACAATGCCCACGCCACGCTGGCCTACAGAACGGGCTTCGTCGTCATCTGATATGTGGAGGGAGTGCCTCCAAAGACAACTCCATGGCACTTAAACGGCTTATAGTACTAAAATTAGCGTCTCCGATGCACAGCAGACATCAATCCCAAGAGTTCATTGTACGCACCAGAAAAGCTTGTCGATCCATTTGTATCAGAGCCCTCACGTTGAATACAACAAATCGAGAGGTTGGCGAGGCTTCAGAATATGCACTTTATTTAGTGGTAAACTACATGCAGCACTACTAGATAACGGCCTTTGGAGAGTGACGAACAACTTATTTGAGGGGATACTACGGATCGGAGAGATGGGTAACGGGAAGGGTTAGGTATAGAAGATAAAGAGTTAAACACCGGTTGAGATATGTGGGGAGAAACTCACTTATCACTTACCCAGTCCGCCCAATGCAATGGACAGCGCGGTCGTGGTTATCCTGCGCGACGACCGATGCAGTATGAAATTATTTTTTGTTTTTATATGTGTTAGAGTTTGATGGACGGGTACTGCTAGGGTGTCCAGCCACTCTAAGCAGGAGAACGGTTAAGGTTCTCGTTCAAAGCCTTTAGTTCTAACAAGAACCCGATCGCAAGGCAGCGAGTGAAACGAAGTAGAGGCCTATTACCTTGGAATGATTACTCCTCTACCATTTTACCGACTGAGACACTAACTCGAGTCGAACCTCCAACCTGGAGGACTAATAAATCAAACTTTGTCTGACATGTACCCTCTGAACTTCCTGGTTTCATAAAAGCCACCCTGTGTAGCTCATTCGGTCAAAGAGGTGCACAAGCCATCACACCAAATCAAGGTGCGGTCTCTTCATGATAGTGAAAAAGAACTCACAGCCTCGAAATAGCAAGTATGGCGAGATGACTTCCAGACAGAGCACATCTCTCTCCAGGTGTCTACTTTGAAATGGTTTTTACACCTATCTATCCTTTCTTCTTTCGAAACATGTGGCTCCAGCGAACGAAACTGCACACAAAATTTAAAAAAAACATTCAAAATATCTCTTATTATTCAGTCGAATATAGTTGGGTACTCATAATAGCCAATGCTCTTACAACTGGAAGACTGGTTTCGACAATACGGACAAAGAAAAAGAAAGGAAAACATAGAAATGCATCCAAGTCAACGAAGAATAAATGCGAACAGTTGAAAGGTGTAAATAATGTCGTTTAATGAGGTGACGATGGTTCAGTGTGTCAACTGCTTTGATATCGCATTTGCCAACTCGAAATAACGCCGGAAGCGATGCCGCAAGAGTATCAGGAAACTACGCATGTCGTTTGTCACATTCAAATGATTCACCAGACGCTCGAAATCTGGGACCAAAGGGTTGCAACTGATCGCCTCGAATCGACGTAATTTCGAGTAACGTAGCTGACACGTGCACACAACTTTGGAGTTTGAGGGCATGCTACAACCATGGAAAAACAATTGCAAAGTATCCGAGTTTGTTCGCTGGGCAACAACACCGAACAATCGTTCAAACTGTCGAACTGTTTCAATCAGTTGAGCCAAATTGCAGGAAATAAATTCAGCGTCAAACACTTGGTTCTCAGATCCGGTTTTCTCCTCAAGGTCCGATATCTCTTTACGCAATTCCCCCTGAACGAAAATAACGAACAATGGAGGCAAAATATTTAAGGTTTACACATGATGGAGTAAATCCACAAAATATCAAAGGCATTGACAGTTGATTCTCGTAGCTCCGGTAAACTGAATTTTATTTCGCCTGTTCACCGATCTTGGCAAATGGTTTGCAAACGTATCATCACCAGCCCGGGTGAAATCTTCAGTGCATGTAAAGTGGCCTCACATGAACTAATGATGTCACCTCGGTTGGTGATGAAACGTTTGCAAACAAATTGCCTAGCTCAGCGAACAGTCGAAATGGAATAATTAAATGTATACATAGAGAGCATGCGGTATAAAACTAATGAACCGGATATCGAAGAGTAAGGGTTTTAATTCGAGCGTTTTCATTACCACGAACAGACAGTAGCAGACGAAACCGGATCAAGGTAGGGCCAAGGAGGGACTACTGAATGTTTGGTAATGATTACAGCGCAGAAAATATGCACAACCCCATGTCTACAGCATAATTTAAAAGGCAGTTGAAAAACACAGTAAAGCTACAGTACATGAGAGACAATGGCGCCACGACTTTTTCAATGGTGTTACGGGAACATATATTCTCGACAGCATTCTTGATAAGTGACCAAAGCTGATTGATGTCATAAAGTGAGGTTATTTTTGTGTCTTGAAAGGTTCCTAAGCAGGCCCGTTTAGATAGCTTATCTCAGTCTAATCGTCGCTGTGTCATACATTTGGAACGCGCATGGACCACCTAGCGAAAAGTAATGTGCATTCCAATTCCAGGGGAGTGCTCCAATACGACTGACAGTACTGTACGGAACCCGGTTACTGGTNGCTGATTAGGGTCCGTCGCTGCCTTTAGGGCAGTGGAAGCTAAGCGACGTGCACTTATTAGTACCGAACAAAAGCGGTTAATCAAACCTATCCAGAGGAAATCCACATGTGCAGCACTTTTAACTCACGAAAAAGTTTGTTCCAGGAATACCCACTTTTCTCCTCCTCCGAAATGCAGCATTCCGATCCGCAAGCTCGATAAGTTGGTTTACAGATCAACGTTTCCTCGCACCCATATAGAGCGGTAATGCTACTGTATATATATGT